ATCGAGGCGCTGGCTGAGCGCCGGGAGCATCCCATCCTCGGCCCGACGTTCCGGACAAATTCGAGCCATTACGGAGGAACGGTTGCTGAACATCGAGAGCCAGGCCCGTGAGCAACAGCAGCACAGGGCGGCTGGTGGCGATGGCAGCAGTGCTGCGGCACGAGCTTTGCCTGACTTAGGGGTCGAAGTGGAGCATGTTGCTGCTGCGGCAGAGAAAAAGCGCAAATCCCCTGAGGAAAAGCAAGCGGCCTCTGCTGCGGCTAAGGCCCAAAGACAGGAAGAGAAGAAACGGCAGAAACTGGAGCGTGTCGCTACCTCCACTGCTGCCAAAGTGTTACCACAGCTGAAGAAATGTTATGACAAGGTGAATGAGGTGCTGGACAAAGTTAGCGCATGTGGAGCGGGCCTGCCGGAGGCAAGCGCGGAACATGTGCAGAAGACAAAAGCAAGCTTGGAAGAGACGGTGAAGCATGCCACCCACATGCTCGCAGCAGCCGCCAAGGGACAAGATCTGAACCTTGGAACCGACGTCTTGAAGACAGAAAAAGGTTTGAATGACATTCTCAAAGAAGGAAATGCAGCCATTCGATCACTGCAGTTCTATATCCGTGAGACGAAGGAGAGTGCCAAAGCCGCAAAGGCTCAGGGCGGTGCTGCGAAGGCAAAAGCAAAGGCCAAGAAATGAGTCGCTGGTCCCTGACCAGAATATCCTGCGTGGATGCGTTCTTAGACGCAGCACGGTTGAGTACTATACGTAGTTTGCTTCCAGGCCAGGTGCCGGCTTGGATGACTTGGGTTGCTGCGACCAGCAAAGAAAGTGCTGACTTTGCAGAACACGGGGCGATGAAAAGACGTTCATGCCATGTCTACAAATCAAAGCCGCGTAATCTTCTGCCTAAACCCAATTGCATGTCGGATTGCGTTGTTTGTACATGTCACAGTTCTGTCCATGTCACTTCCTCCATCATATATAGTTTCAAAGTTGGTATCAACGTTGCCACGTTGTTCCGCAAGCAGTGCATCTTTCGATAATCTATCTATAGATATTATGTTCATATGCTATGTCCTCTGTATATATATATATATATATAAATATAGAAATATATAAATATATAATAAATAAACCCCATCAAGACAGAAGTCACATGAAGTCGCGTCATTTCTGACGGTGCGCGCAGCCGTTTTTGCTTGCAGCATAGAAAAGGTCGGCGGCCCCCGCTGTGTCAGCATGACCATCCTGTGTGCGCTCACTGTGGCACGTGCAACGGCCATAGCCTTGCAGAAACAATGCGGTGGGCAAGAAGATATCGAACGGATCGCTGATGCGCTAGAAAATCTGAAAGAAGTGCTGGCGCAGATCCACGTCAGTGAGGCATATGTTGATCATGTGTCCATGACGAAGTTTTGTGATCGCGTTCTCTGGTCGACCCGAGGGTTGCTGCTGCAATGGGAAGTGACGACCACGTCCCTGCAAGAACTGCCTGTGAAGAAAATGCCAGCCTTGGAAAAAAATCCCGTTTGGAGGATCACGCATCCGAACCGGGAGAGGTACTTGAGCGAAGTCCCCGCGGGAGTCAACTTCCTGCTGGCTCAGCAGGAAATATTGACAGGGGAGCCTTGGGATTGGCTTTTCCACTTTGTTCATCAGTTAGAATATAGTCTTTTGTGATCACAGAAACATCGAAGCGGGTATGAAAAAAGCATGTGGGCCATCAGAACTGCAATAAACACATATTACTCATTACTGTATATACGTATATACATGCACGCATGTCTATATGAATTATATCGCATGGCCCCGACACGTGTCACACTCATTGTTCTGTTGCGTTACAATAGAAAGAAGCATTCACATATAATAGCTCTTGGTTCAAGCAACGGTCATGCGCCAAAGCACCGTTCCAACGGGTGAACATGCGCGAGGCAAAGACGTGGCTGCGGCCATGGCCCGATTCAGTGAAAATAGTATCGCCAAGATAAGAGGTTGGCTGAATGGAAAAGCTTGCAACCAGAAGAAGTCTGGCGCACTGAAACGAAAAGTGAGTGCAGCCTTGAGTCCTTATCGTGCTTGCTACAAAGAAGTCGCTGTGTGCGAGAAAGAAACGAGGCAAAAGAGCATAATATTCTATGGCAGACGTGCGGCGTTTGCTTCGCTTGTATGCTTCTGAATGTCCTTCGTTTGCCTCTTTGCTGCGAAGCCCGGCATCGCGAAAGTTCGAGGTGTTTCTTGCACACGACGAGGCGACTGCGGGAAATGTTCTCAATCCGCAGCAACGAATGAAAACTTTGTTGGTGTATTTTACGCTGAGGCCGCTGTCGCAGTATACTTCGAAACTGCGCGAGCATGGATGCCTTTGGCGGCAATCACCCACGAACAAATACAGCAGTGTCCTGGCGGCCTGAGTGCCATTACGGCCTGCATTGTCGAAGACTGGCTGGATCAGAACTTAGTCAGCGACTTTGTAGTCGCAGACGGTGTGCCGCCCATGTCCCTGGCAATCGCAGGATTCATCAGTGATATGGAAAGTCAACGGGGCGCTTTCGCAGCCAAGGGAAGCGCAGCATTGAAGCCGTGCATCCACTGTGGAAATTGTCTCATGAAAGGCGCACAAGGCGCTGAGGTGTCTGAAAATTTCTCCACAATCGAAGAGCATGACCTTGCTCTGTTTCCCTGGGGATCATAAGTTGGTGCTATATGCCTACTTACCCGTTAAGTATGCAAATATGCAAACTTATGGTGTTTTGGGGATAAGTTCGCTAAAAACATATACTTATTGGAAAACCGATTTTCGACAAACCCTGTGGTCCCAAACCCCTGCCCAAGGCTGATCATGTTGAAGTTAGTTTGCTGGATCTTTGGACTCTGCCTGTCTCATTTTGTTTTCTTTTCCCTTTGGCAGCCAAGAGCCGAGTCTGAGAAGATATCTAGTCAAGATTCTAAACTCAAACGGTGGCCCCTTGTGGACCTTCGCTGCCAACTTCTTTATGAGGCCAACGTGGTCCTCATCTCTAAAGCAATGCGTGTGTCTGCAATTGAGCTTTGTATGCAGCATATCTTCACAAAGGTGAAGAAAAACATGCAGTTTGGGAATATACTTCCAGCGTCGTGATCCAGAAAGCACCGACTGGATACCCAACCGGCTGTAACTTTTCAGGAAACTCATCCCATAGCTGTAAATTGAAGTGGCCTCACTCTGTGTCAAGTAGCGGCCAGCACGCTCCACAGCATCAAACCAAGCACAAATTGCACGAGCAGCAACTGATGCAGTAACAGCTTCAACACAGGGGGTTGAGCCAGACTCACGCACACTCTGAAGATATCCACGCAGGCACCGGTCTAGGAATATGATCATCAACCTGCCATTCCAAGCCTTGATTGTGAGACAAGGATGCCCTTCGGCATGCAACATCCCAGCAGTCAAATATCCCTGCGAATGCCTCAGACAATGATCACTTGAGACAAGGCAGAGTCCAAACCTCCAAGTAGTGGGTCTCTTCATATTTGGGGAAGTAGGAAATCAAAACTAAGTTGTTCTAACAAATTAACAAAGCCTGGTAACTCCACACAGTTGACGCTGGCCCATGCTCGAAACCGGCTCGAGCAAACCCGAAGTTTCTGATCGATGGACAGTGTGTTTGTACCAAAGAAGCCTTAGATGCAACATTTTAAGCATTTGGCAATCATATCAAATCATTAGTCATACCCAAAAAAGAAACCAAGGTAAACCACTAGCACAAAAAAGCAGAGTTTAGTTCCAGGTTCCCAGTGATGCAAGGAGATCAATGATGCTTCCGTTCAGGAACTGCAAAATTCCCAAATTTAATGTATGCATAGAACACCATTTCAGGTGATCAATCTGGAACCCCGGCAGGCCCACAATAGGATGTGGCTCCCTAACAGGGAACAGCGGTAACTCAAGCACCCCATGTTTGAACTGATATGTGGAAATTTCCAACATGTCCAAACTAAGCAGTGTTCAAAATTCAGTAGTCCCCAAACCTAGTTGGCTATTGTGACCCCTAAATCATCAAGACATGTATTTTTGAAAATTACTCTCATAATTTTAGCCGTAACTTATCCCAGCCTGAAACAGGCATTGACAGCATTTGTAGTCGATCTTCGCCCAAAAGATTTGGTGATCTGGGTCCACCTGAAGATGAAATCACCCCGTAATCAAAATATGTTTTACTTATGGATAAATAGGCATATATCACCAACTTCTGATCTTTATGATTAGCTTATTTTTTGGGGGTTAGATATTTGCCTATTTGTGGGATAAGTATGCAGATAGCACCAACTTATGATCCCTAGGATATAGGTTTGTTTTCATTGATGTCAAATAGACATATACATATGGGATGTCAATGTGCAGATGGAACCAACTTATGACCAACATTTTACAAGCAGAAGAAACAAATCATAACCCAAAAATCCAAAATGCAGGGCACAACCAAGAGTCCTGTTGAATCCACTTTTACGGGCCACACATCTATGGCAGAAATTGGTGGCACCCCAATGCGCCGCTAGCTGCAATGACTCGCGGAGCCATTTCCAGTCACCCCGATGCTCGGTGCAATATGCCGGACCACCTGGAAAGGGAAGGGGTATATAGTTCAGTAGGTTTGCTTAGGCAACCCAATAATTATGCCATGTGGGTATTGATCAAAATATTGGGGGAACCCCATATTTTAATCTTTTTTAAATTCACCATCCAGACAAAGGGATTCCCAAGTTTGAACCATATTGATCTATTTAGAAATTTTCCAACAAAACACAGGCCTGCAATGGGTTTCCCTGAAAGTTTCTGTTTTGCAGCAGGCAGTGGTTCACCGTTGAAGTTTTCTGAAGGGTGAAGTCCTGTGCTAAGTACCTGTGCATGCAGTCCATAAGAAAAATTGGTGGCAAGTACTCCCAAAACATTTTTGGATACAACATTGAAAAGATTGGACTTGATTTCATACGTTTAATGTTCATCAAGATGCCTTCAAACTCCAGCAAATCACTTCCCAAATGGGTTGGAGGCTGTAGTCAGGGACTGCCAGAGAGCACCGAAGGGTAAACAGTGGATACCGGCACAGGTCCAAACCTGATTTTGTGGACATTGGGTTTTGGTAACAAAATCATACGCCTTCAAATTTGGGAAAAACGAACCAAAAAGGATGTAAAGTCCAGCCCATCGAAAATGTATCAAACTTGAAAACAGGGAGCTTTTGGGTTCAAACAGAACCAAGTTCATGGCAATGACAATCACCTTTTCGCCAACATTGTTGTATTTGCAATCATCACCATATAACCCGACCACGTTGGCGCCCCAAGCACCGGGATGATCTGCTGACGCAGCCTTTTCCCAATACTCTTTGATTTTGTTGACATCGAGTTTGACCTTTTTGGATGCCTTGGAGTTGGCATTGACAGACATATTCATGTTTATCCATGTTTATCCCAATATCCTTTTTGGATGAATAGCCATACTTGAGGGGTTCAGTTGGGAGTAATTACAAATGGTTTGGTGAACACTTCAACCAATACTTTATTGGATGGAACTGTGTGTGGTATCAGCTTACTGTCCACCATGGATGCATAAACATATTCCAGATAACCAGCATCTTCCAGATAACCAGCATCGGTCTCCCTTCACCAAAAACAAAGCAGTGGGTAACCAACAAGAACCAACTACTCAAGGCACATACAAATAGTGGTAGACCTCGTGGGGAAGCAGAACTGGCACCTTCATGACTTCCAACGTTGACCGGTCCACTGCACTGCGCACTGGGATTTCCACCCAAATAGGAGTCACTGGTAGTTTTAGAAGTGAAGAAAGATCCCTTTCGATGTTGCTAGGATGTTTTCCAGCTGTTCCCAGATTTGCGAACTTGTGGGTGAGTGGTGAAAGCTTAGATCCATTGGCCTGCCCAGGGTTGATTCTAATCAGGTATATAGATGTTACCTCTTGATGCCCCTGGAAACCACAGGATACCACTGGTAATATACGTACTAATAAAAGATAGTGTATATATATATATTTGTACTGTTTAAATCAATAAATAAATAAATCAATAAATAAATAAATAAATAACACATATAATCAAAACAATATAGGTTTTACTTACATGTAGCTCATGCTATATGGTTGTCTTTCAAATGAAAACCGAACAATGCCACTGGGAATTGGGATAGTTACTGGAAGATACCAAACCATAAACATCCAACGTTCCCCAAACACTCACTTGATGGTTTCCAAATCCACCCACCTGCGCTTCTGCCACTGCAGCCGCAGCTGAGCGCTGAAGCTCGGCACAACTGGTCGCCTCACAAAGCCAGCTGAAACAAACCCCAGAAGACTGAACCCAGGATAGCTCCATCAGGTCATGGTAAACTTTTTACAACTGGCTGAACAACATATGACAACATAAAACTTGCGCTTGAAAAGCAAGACCTTGAAGCTCTATTTTGCCGTTTCATGGTGGAAACATGGACACAAAAAGAAACACAAACACAAACACAAACACACACACCACCATCACCACCACCACCACCATCATCATAATAATAATAATCATCATCATCGTCATAAGCATCCCACCCCGCTGTGTAGGACATTCCATTTGCATCCCAGGCACACCACGTCCAAGGCTGCTAATCAAATAGTCAGCATAGCAATGAGTACCTGGATCCGATGACAATGCCGAAGAACCCCAGGAAAGTAATGATGGATAGGACTCCCAGAACCAGCAACGAAGGATTTATTTGCAGATTGATCCCTATCTCTCAGTCTCTCTCCCTCCCTCTCTCTCTCTCTCTTCTATACCTCTTCCCCTCTCTCTCTTCCTATCGCTCCCTCTCCCTTACTTTATCTTTAATTATAGTTTCCAAATCAATTTCACAAATATGATGTTGTATTTTGGGTTTATCCCATAATATTGGAATTCTGAAATTCTTCCCTATCTTTTTTTCTGCCCAAGAGATTTGATGCCGTCGAGAGCCGAGAGTGGTGGATAGCCAAAACGCAAATGCACTGTGGATAGTTTTTACCTATCCAGTTCTGCAGCTGGGCCCATACTTGGAAAACATTTTGGTGATTGAACAAATATTTGCTGGTATAACTACACATGCAAAATTAGTTAAGTTCACCTTGGGACCCAACATACATCCCTGGCTAGGCTCCACAATGGTAGAACCCCTGCTATCTTATCCACAACATGGAGTCTCATCCGTAAGAGGCCACATAGCACTAGCGAAGCTGATCAAAAGTTCATTCAGCAGAATCCACTGCGCAAACACACATCAATGGAGAATGGCACACAAAAAATGTAAATGGTTTAGAAGTTATCCCTGAAACGCCAGTGGATCCAAAGCAAACCAAATCAGGCAGCAGCTTTGGCCTTAGCCTTGGGCTTAGGTAAGTGTAAGTTGGCCTGTCGGATTGATTCCTTGAAGGCCTTGTTGATATCTTCCAACACATTGGTTGGCTGAACCAGATCCTGGTCCATCGCCAAAGCAGTCTCCAGGGATGTCTTCCCCGCCCGAAGTTCGGTCTCGCTGACAGCCAACTGCTGGACCAAAGCGGTCCTGATAATCTCCGTCCTTGGCTGTAAGACTGGTTTGGTAGTATGGCTTAGTATGTTTTGAACACATGTACACATTGGCAAAGCCCCTGCAACCAAACATTTTAAACAGCATAGCTAAATCATTTGCCTGAAGATTGATGCTAGATGTATATGGGTGTTTCCCAAAATGAAGGATTCCCAGAACCATTATGGTTTCAAATGCTAAAGCATGCCTAATGTTGGATGATTTGGGGCCAGGCTACCTTCACTTTATGAAATTCCTAATCTTGTGGGATATAATAATATAGTTATATATATATATATTCCCTCGCCCTAACTGCAACAGGTTGATGTTGAATCAATCCCCATCCGTGTGGTCATTCTGTGTGATTGGTTCTTGTGTTTTGCCGCGCTAAGAAAAACTACGTGGCGGTGGACATGAGCATGGCCATCGCTATTGGACGATGTCTGGATGATCACCTATATTGAGTCTCAATTGCTCCTTGACCTGAACTAAGTTGGGTTGGGCCGAGGCACACCCCAGCTTTGGCCAACTTCAGGTTCAGCTGGGAGATCTCCAAGATATTGTTGTTTGCAGTCGCAATAGCCTAAGTGGATGATGGGGTATAACAATGATCAAGTAAGGGATCCAAGGGATACATACGGTAACAGATTTCTGAAGGTGATTTAAACACGATATATATATAAATAAAAATAAAATTGTTTTCTTTGAAACATGTCACCATCAAATTATCACAAGCTGGGGCTATGCATAGTTGTTCGGAAAGATCAAATTTGAATAAATATGGCCATGAACAAGTAACTGCCCGCGCCAACTGGTTCGGAGTCTTGGGTTTCTTCTCTTTGGGCACTTTTGGAACAGGGATGGACGCACCACCCTTGCCACCTTTGCCTCCCTTGCCTCCTTTGTTTCCCTTGCCACCATTTTTTCCAACACCCTTCCCTTTGTTGGGGATTGAAGGGGCTGCTCCACCATCCCCATCCTGATCATCTTCTCCACCATACCCGGTCTCATGCACCAGGTTCTGTCGCTGCTCGTACTGATCAACTGTGCTGGTGCTGTCCTCGTACCAGAAATAGAACAACTTCATCTCCTGGGCTGCTGGGCTGGATGGCAGTTGGAGCGAAAAGGTGGCGGATTATCAGATACATAATATGTATATCTTTCACAAAATATGCACAGCAAACAGCACACTCAACTATTTTACCCTTGAGCCAAAATATACGTACAACACAGTGGTTGTGTGACAATTATGTGGAGGTGTAAATTTCAACACCCCTCCTTCAACGCAGGTGCTAGCTTCGCTACACCTTTGTTGATTCTAACTTCTTTGCTCCAACGGCTTTCCCTAGACGATACTCCTGACACATGTTCTTCATGTGTCTCTCGCAGTTTCGTACATAGATCGGCTAGATTGTTCTTTGTACCGATCGGGCAGATCCGCAGGTGGTTCTCAGCCACACGTTCCTGGATCCATAGATAACGGGTCTGGACGTGTCTTAGCTTTCCGAGACCTCGCCTGCTCGCTGTACCGCGTGCAGCGCTGCTGTCGCTGTAGATCTCTAATGCCCTTTCGGCTCCCCAATCTTGCATGAGCGCCTTGATGCTCAAACCAATTGCGGATGCTCGTACGAGTGCATAAAACTCGCTTTCTCCCGAGCTCAGAGCAATGGTCGATTGGAGATTCGATCCATGTTTGATGCAGTGTTGTCCCATCATGACAACGAATCCTGTTATTCCTGTTGTGCTTTTCCTCGTCAGCAAACAACCCGCATGATCGCTGTCAGTGTAGACTTTAATCACCTTGGGTGTCCTCTGAGGTTTGTAGGTGCACACGACCCTTGGCTTTCCGACCAGGTATCTACCCAATCGTTTCAAGTCCTTGACGTCTGCATCATTTGGTGCTTTCATCTTTCTCGTCAGTGATTTCACTGTTTCTGCTATGTCCGCACGGTCTTGTGCTAGGAACTGTGCTCTCATCACTAGACTTCTGTATAGTGTGGTCTGTTCTGCTGTCACCGGTGGAAGACCTACCGATGCCAGCACTTCACTGCTCTTTTTCTTCTCCGACGGTGTCACCACACTTTTCGCATTTTCCAAGTTCAATTGTCTGATGATCATTTCTGCATGTCTTGGATCGGCTTCGTATGTCACTTTTCCTGTTTCGTGGTCATGGGTCACAATTCGGTTCAAGACTGTCAGATGTGATCCTCCACCTTTTCCGATGAGTCCGTCACATCTGAACTCATATCTCTCTTGCAAAACCTTTTGCATGTATTCTTGTCCTGCCTTGTCACTCAGGACTAAAAAGTCGTCTCCATGTACTAGCAGCTTGATGTTCTTCTCCTTGTGCCAGAACACTGATGTCCAAGCTTTTCCACATTCGAAATTGTGTTTCTTCAACAACTCGCTGTAGTCTGACTGCCAGACATGACTGGCGTCTTGCGTGCCATACATGGTGCGCTGCAGTAATGCGCACATTCCTTCTTCTTCGTCACCTTGTGGCAGTGTGACGTATACCGTTCTTTGTGCCTTTCCATAGAAATGTGCACGTGATATGTCGTAAAGTGCCAGCTGCTCGTTACTGCCACTTGTGGCTAACATCGAGCATAGTAGCTTCACCGCCTCCAATGGCGGCATGTTCGAAAACAGCTGGTGTCCTGGGAGTGAACCATGTTTCTTCTTCACTTCCCGAACCACTAAACGTGAACGGTAGTTCTTCTTCGTTGAATCGCCTTTGTTGCGATCAATCCATTTCAACGTGATGGGTGCTTTTCCTGTGATTGCCCAACATTCGCTTATGGGTCGTTTGACGTAGACTTCCTGTTTCTTCACCCAAGCAAGTTCTTCTTGTCTCGCTTTCAGTACCTCCTCCGTTTCCAACTGAACTCCTGTGATCTCATCAAAGAAGATCTGTTCGTTGCCTTTGTTTTCAAACTTCGGCACGTACTCATCTTCGTAGTCCTCAAGATGTGGATCGTCATCCGGGCTTGGTCCTGCATCTAATGCATTCACTTCTCGGTATTCACCGTCTGCTTTCATTTGTCGCTTGATGGCCTTTAGTATTCCTTTCACCAGTTCTGGTGGGTATACCCGTGCCATTTTGGCACGTCCATTGACGAGGTGGACATGTCTATGCCATTCTCCAGTTCCTTTATCGTTCGAGCAAACGCCCGACAGAATCTTAGCCAACTCCGGGCTATTTGTAACCCATCTAGTGTTTTTCCTGACATAAGATTCACCACTGGCGTCTCTAGCCACCATTCTCCATCTGTACATTGGTCCCTCAATTGTGAATGTCCCGGGTAGGTTCTGAACTTCCTTGACACATTCTTCATTCCAACTGGCTGCTGGTTTTGGATGTTCGTGTAGGAAGTACCTACCCCTCCTTGACTGTTGCTTGTAGTACTCGCATGCTTGCTTTAGCATCCTTCTGCCTTCTTCCAGCCTTTGTTGTCGAACAGCTGGATCAACTCTCCCTGTGTTTAGAGCTTGAAGCGGTGAGAACGCTTCACACGGCGGACTTCCAGTTACCAGGTACGGATCCTCCTCATCCAAGATCCTCTCCAGACTCTTCACATGATCTGGATTCAACAAGTTCCATCCAGTCTCCAAATCAACTGCGTATCCTGGCAGTAGTCCATAATTCCTACACTTCTCTGTCAATCTGGGCGGTGAAAAGATTTCACTCACATCATGTGCTCCAAGAGATTTCAAATCTTGTAATGAAACTTCCCAATCTTCGTCGGGTTCAATGCTAAAGTGAAACAACGACTGGACATCTCTAACGTGACTTGGCGATGTAACTGGTGACCAAAATTGATCATGACTCATGTCTGCACCTGGGGCTGCGGATCCTGAAGCAGTCCCACTGGCTGAAACAGCCGGAGCGACCGCTTGTCCCTCGGAAGTTCCACTGGTTGAAACAACCAACGGCCCCTCCTGCTCCTGAGCATCGTAGTACAGATCATCGATGTTGTCTGGTATCCGTTTTCCTGACCTCAAGGTATCTGACCTTGTTCTCTTCTCACCTTCAACTCTTCCTCCGTGATGTTGGTTGTTCAGGTTCTTCAGGTTGTCCAAGTGCTACTGATGATCTCACTTCACCTTCAGTGGGATCCGGCATTCCTGTGATCACTTGTTTTGCCTTTTTCTTTTCGGTACCTTCCTCTTTCCTTTTCTCGACGTCTGCTAGACGTTTCCTTCCTTCTTCCGTTTGTAGCAACCTCTGTTCTAACCTGTATCTGCATGTTGCATTGTGTGCAACTGCTGGCAATCCAATCATGATTGCCTCACAATCTCTGCAACCTGGTGTGTAGTCCATTGTACCGTCTTCCTTTTCCAAGTCCTTCTTTCGGACGTACAGATTCCTGGGACCTCCATCCCGTACACTCGGGGTTAATCTCTGTGTTGTCTCAGGCAACGTGATGTGTAACCTGTGTTCCACATCTTCGGCACTCCTTGGGCGAAGCGCCCAGGGCGTACCTTTCAATTCTTTGAGTTCCGTTCGGTCCCATCTCTCTGATTCTGGTTTCCTATGGACGGTATTGCCTTTAATCACACCTTGACTTGTCATCACCAACACATCGGCGTTCCTGCCGTGCGTTCCAACGTAGTGGCCACTCATGACCCTACTTGCTAGATCTCCTTTCTTTCTTTCGGATTCACCTTCCTTGGAAACCCTGTAGGAATCCAACGGTCTAAAATAGACCTTTTCGCCAAACGTCACCATAGGTCTGTTCCATTTTCTTCCAGTCAATCTTTGGTATGGGGTTTTCCCATCATCTTGAATACTGAATCTACTCAGGCAAAATGCCGCATGTCTACTTAGCCATGTGAGTAATGGATGCGTATCTTCCAACTTTCCAAAGTGTCCCTCAAGTTCACTCAAAAGTGCTCTTGACTGTCGCTTCTCGTCCCTGATTGCGACTTCGACTGCACCATTGGCACTGTGGTCCCCAGTAGGTGCTTCTTGCAGGATTATCTCAATTCCTGCTGCTTTGGATTTCACTTCTCGTTTCAGAGCGACGATTGCTGGTTCCCCGTCGCTCTTCAGAATCAACCTGTTGTACCCTGTTTCATTCAAACAAGCCAACATGAAGTTGACTGAAAACAGGTCTGGTCCTTTCGTGGGTATTGTAGTCGCCCACGTCATCTTTGACTTGCTGTCTTTTACCTGCAAGTTCGTTGATTCTCCATCCTTCTCACCATAGTAGAAATAGTCTATTGATACAACTGGGATTTCACTGTCCTCATCCCGTGAAACTGAGCTGTGCTTTGCGTACGTTGCACGAGCTCTCATGCAATGGCCACACCACGATCTGTGTACCGCGTGGGCTGTGGCAAGATGTTCCTCTAATTCCTGGGCTGTTGGATCGCTGACTTTCCTTGCGACCTTTGGCCTCTGTACCTCGACAGCTTCTGCCGGGTCCTCTGCTGAAACAGCAGGGGCCCCAGCTTCCGCTGGCGACTCTTCCATTCTCTCTTCTTCCAACGGACTTACGGATAACCCTGCCGTCAGTTTCCCGACTTCCTTTCCATCTTCTGCTTTGTGGTGTCTTCGTCAACCCAGTAGTCAAACACGTAGACACCCCTTTCAATTCGCAACTTGGTGGATTTCCCACCTTCTTCTTTCAACACTTGGTCTACAAACTTTTGGATTCTCTTTGCTGCATTCGACCCAGCTGGTACTATGTTACCACCCTGGTTGTCCAATATTACCATATTCCTCTTACACACTTCCGACCCACTAGCCAAGATGCGGTGCACATCGGTCACCCTCGCATTCAAGCTCTTGTCCGTATAGTTGGCGTCACTGCCATACAACTGTACTTGGCCATGGTCAGAAAGTAGTTCACCTGAGGCTGTTTTGTAACGGGTGGACTGCTTTTCACCGAATGCATACCTTCCAAACTCTTTCAGTGGTACGGTTGAAACCGCTGCTCCAGTGTCAAAATTGACAACCACATGCTTATACAAACCCTGGAGTTCTGGTTCAAACTCGTTCGAATCGAAAGAGTTCAAATCCGCCCAACTCATGATTCCATGGCTTTCATCATCGTCCCCAGGATTTGCTGCTCTACGTTCAGCATTGGTCATCCTAACATCATCCATCTCATCTTCAGTCCTAGTGGTTACTGCATCATCATCATCATCATCATCATCATCATCTGCATCAACCCTTGCAGCACTTGACGCAGCTCGGCCGGATTTCCTTTTTCCTCTCTTTGCGTTGTTCTCGAAGAGTTCCGGACTCCTCCATGGTGCGTTCATGTACATCTGGTCCTCAGTGCGATTCTCGAACTCCCGAAGTCCTTTGATCTCCATGGTCACGCTAGGCTCTCTCTCTTCTTCGGGATCATCCATGACATCTTCATGAGGTCTTTCTGACATTGCCTCATCTTCTCCTTCAGTCTTTACCTCTTCTTCCTTTGGCTCCTCAGCTCTTCGTTTCTTTGGTGCTGGTGGTGGTCGCATTTCAAGCTGAGAAATGATCTGCTTCGTCTTCTTCTCCATACGTACCAATTCCATCTCCTTGTCGTCGTGGAGCAACTTGCATTTCGATCCATACCTGCACGAACCGTGCAAGAAGAATCTGCAATGTTGGTTCTTCAATCCATCGATGACAGCCTGTTCATGAGAAAATGGGCATGGATCCCTTTTGCATTCTCCTTCCCATGCCAACGCTCGACAGGCTGTGGTACGCTGTCTCCTTTCCTTTCTCTTTCTGTTCCTCTTCTGCTTCTTCGCAACTGTCTTTCCTTTGGTCTTCTTCTTGGTTCTCATCTCGGTTCGACCTTTCTCCATCACTTTTCGTTCGTCATCCATTGTCTCTTGTCGGAATGACTCAAACTCTTCCTTGGTGAGGGGTCTGAACACCTTCTTTTCCTTATAGGATCCCGTTCTTGACATTCCACTGGAAACCTTCATTGAACTTCCTGTTTCCTCACCTTCCTTGATCACTTCAGTCTCCATGCCTTGGTACCCGATCTGTTCCGTATCTGCTGGTACCTTTTCCTCCTCTTTCAGTGCTCTGGTTCTATACTCCTTGATCCACTTCGCATGTAGTTCCTTTCGAACTTTAGCTCTTTCACCCACACCTTGCTGTCGGTGGATGATAGCTCGGCGTCGTGCTTTCTCCTTACGCCATGCTTCATTGTGTGGAACTCCTGCTGCGATAGCCCTGAAGTAGCGCGCATCATGCCATTGCTGATCCGTCAGGTTCTCTTTGGTCAGCATCTTCACAGGGTTTTCTCTGGTACTCTTGTCCTGTTTTGAGATGTAGTTGCGTAACTGCTTCAACTCCTCTTCAATTTCTGCGATGCGTTCTCATGTCTTTGAACTTCTTCCTCATCTTCAGCATTTTCGATCATTTCAACCAACTTGCGTTTCTCATGGTGCAATCGGCCAACTTGAAGTCCTTCAATGGTACGATGCATGAGAACGCCAGTCATCGGGGTCACAACTCTGCCTGAATCAGGCAGGGTCGTTTCCTTTGTGACTGGTTTCTCATCATCTTTTGCTTCCGCTTCATTCTCATCCTTCTCCGGCGATTTTGCCAACTTCTCCAACTCCAATCGCCTCTGGACTTCATTGTCGTCCTTTTCAGCTGTGAGGAATTCCTTAGCTTCGTTCAGAATCTTCCTGATGTTCTCTCTTTCCTGATCCATGTCGTACTCTCTCATTTCATCAAGGTATCCTTCCATCACAGCCTCGACGTCCTCGTCGTCTTCGGCTTCATACCCTGGATCTTCATCAGGCTCTTCTGGTTCTTTGGTCTCATCCTCGGCTTGATCTTCTGTTTCATCCTCAGCTTCAGAACCTGTGGTATCATCCACAGTATCTTCATCTTCTTCTTCTCGGATCGACCCAACTCCGTGGGCAGACCTCCTTGCAGCATAGTCCATGGCTGCACTTGTAGATGGCCCTGCACGGTCATCACATGAACTGCAGGCATCTTCGAGTCCTTCTCGGCGGAACACCATCTGAGCCTTTGACTGGGCAACCGATCCACGGGACTTGCTTGCAGCTTCAACTGATGCCGCAAGTCTTTGTCTGTACCTTGTGATCGGAATGTCCCTCCATATCATCGCAGCTCCTTCTCTCAACAGTCTTCGGTACCTTTTCCTTGCTTCTGCTCGAGTTGCATCTGGCAATCCAACATTCGGTACTTCGACTTTTCCCGGTATCGGTTCGTCGTCCGAGACTGCCGTCAACATGGCAAGCTCGAGATAGCCGGTTTCGGCTTCTCTTTCAGGTTCCTGATGTTCACCCTGTTGTTTCATGCTGCTGATTTGTTTCCCTTTTCCTTTGGATTTTCCTCCTTTACCTTTACCTTTGTTGTTGCTGTTGTTGGGAGGTGACCTGCAATCCTTCTGGTAATGTCCAGCCTTTCCGCAGTTGAAGCAAACCACGGACAGGCTTGAGCCAGAATTGCCACCATGTTTTCCATGTTTTCCACTCGACTTACCTTTTCCTTTATCTTTGGCCTTGCCTTTGCCTCCATGTTTGCCTTTACCTTTGGAACCCTTTCCACCTTTCTTGCCTTTTCCTTTGCCAAATCCTCCAATGTCCATGTCATCTTCACCTTTCGGTTTGCTGCCAAGTGACTCAATTTTGAGCTTCACTCCAACTCGCGTTTCAAGGTAGCTGGCGAGTTCGGCATGCATGTCATCGAAGTCCAAGAAACGACTTCTGTTAAGTTGTAGGTGTCTTTCGACCTCTGGAGGGCACATGGACTCCAAGATCGACATCTTGATGTCCTGAGCTATGCTCTGTCTATTTCCTGCGCTGTCCTTTCTACTCTCGTAGCGGTTCACAAGTTCCATCCATCCTTCAATCTTCTCACTGAGTTCCTCAAGCTTGCATTTTCCTGGATTCAAGATGTGCCTCAAGAGTGCTGATTTCTTGGCACCAGTAGAGGGATCGTATCGGCGATTGATACGTCGCCAGGCCTCAAGTCCATTGGCCTTTTCTGTATTCCTCAAAATCATGAACGGTTCTCCCTCAAGTAGATTCTGCAACACAGAATAAATCTGTGCGCTCTTATCCTTCAGGTCATCCACTGGACTAGCCGTGCCCACGCCGAAAGCAGCTTGGGCCCGAGCTTCCGTCACAGTGTTTTCCTGTTCTTCACACCAATTCAGTACTTGCTCCATTTCCGGGAACACTGAAAACATGAATGACTCTGTCTTGATTCTCCATCTGAGGTAGCTCTCACTCTCTTTGCCACTGAACTTATCCGGCTTTCCGATTCCTCTATTGTCCACTAGGTTGATTTTCTTTTCGTCTTTCTTCATTGCGTTTGCGACTTCTGTCTGTGCTGTTGCTAGTGCTTGAATTGCGGGTCCCATCTGTGCTCCTGCCGCTTCCAATCCTTGCATGCGGCCTTCTAACAGAGCGTTCCTTTCTTGGCTTTGATGGAGCAACTGTCCAAGCTGATTCACTCGATCCGCCAACTGAGCTAACTGCTCTTCCGGGGTAGCCATTGGTATCACTTACCCAAGGAGCCCTTTACCGGAGCCAGTGCTCCGCTACCACTTTCACAAAATATGCACAGCAAACAGCACACTCAACTATTTTACCCTTGAGCCAAAATATACGTACAACACAGTGGTTGTGTGACAATTATGTGGAGGTGTAAATTTCAACATATATTTTACATATATGTATATATATTGTAGAATATGCATGTTTATTTAAACAAAATGCATTTGTAGAAAAACATATGATACATAGATAAAGAAATACTATGCATATATACATATATGTCGGCCTCATATTGAATGGGGGACTGGTGGGACAAATGTACGGTGATCTGGATTTTTAGTTTTATGCATTATTTATGAGATTAAATATCATACAGCTAAGTAATCTTTTACTGGTAGGAAGGGTGCAAAATGGCTTGCAGCCTAGAGTCTTCAAGCCCAGGAAACTCAGGATGTGGTTTGGTTTCACCATTTTGCTCCTGGCAAGTGGTTGAAAACATCTATCCCCTCAAAATCATTGCCGAGGAAACAGGAATATACTAGAAGTATATCTATAATATAATGCCGGTCTTCTCTCGGCAAAGCTTGTCCACCATGTCTTCTGAATATCGGGCCTTGAGCTCCTTAGATACACGGGTTTGGGGCATGGGTCATTGAACGCTAAAGTTTTATTGTTATGCTGCATTACATGTATTTTGGAACATCGATGCATGAGTGCTGTCATGTGTCACTACGGGTGAGCCATTTCCAAATGCCGCAGGTTGCTGTGCTGTGGGACCTGCTTTCTTGTAAGCATATGCTGGACTGAAGCCAGTCACCGTTGCAACGCTTAAACTCTTCGAAGAGCTCTTGTAGTTTCTGCTGACATTCTGCAGGTGGGCATTCGTTGGCTTCGTCAAACTTCTGCCGAACAGCTGGGGGACAGTTCAGACTGCGCAAAGAGCGGTAATATCGCATATATTGGTTCTTGGCTGCTTTTTTGGACACTTCAGGGTCATCGGCTGGCTCTGCTGGTGGTGGATTGCTACCTGAGGGTTGGTTGGGTGGATTGCCAGCTGCCAATGCATTGGGTGGATTGGGTGGATTGCCAGCTGTTGGAGGGTTGGGTGGATTGGCAGGTGTGGGGTTGGGTGGATTGCCATTGGGTGGATTGCCGTTGGGTGGATTGGCAGGTGCCGGGTTGGGTGGATTGCCGTTGGGTGGATTGGCAGGTGCCGGAGGGTTGGGTGGATTGCTGTTGGGTGGATTGGCAGGTGTCGGGTTGGTGGGTGATGGGGCGGCTGCTTGGGCATGGCTAAAGGTTGAGCAGGGGGGGCCAAAGACAATGGGAACACCAGGCTTCGCAGTCGGTTCTGTCGGCTCTGTGGGTGTGGCTTGCTGCCCTTCTGCGTTCTCAGTTGAGGGTGTCATCACTACATCATTAGGTGTCACTGCTGTTGCTGCTGCTGCAATCTCAGTCGGGGGTGCCATCACTACATCATCACCATCACTAGATGCTGTTGCTTGCTTTGCTGCTGCCTTTGGGGCTGGGTTTGCCATAACTACATCGGCTGATGCAACTGGCATTTCTGCTGCTGATGCTCCGCTGGAGGGTGTCACCGCTGCAGTGGCAGGTGTTGCTGGCTCTGCTGGTGCTGCAGCTGCTGGGTTCTCAGCGGGGGTTGGCATCACCACATCATTGCGTTCTGGGGTAGCTACTTCAGACTCGGTAGCAAAAGACATCTGGGTGCTTGGTCGTCTCATGGCTGAAAAAAAGCTGCCATACCAGCTGCTGTCACTGGAGTAAATTTGATGGCTTCATCTGTAGGACTTTTCCCCTTATGTTTTCCCTCACCACCAACGGACCCAGGGACCATAGGAGCCGCATGTGAGGTCGTAGGCACAGGCAGTGATTCGACAGGAATCACAGGTTCGGCATTGCTGCCCTCCACAGCCGGGGCAGGTGGGGCAGGTGGGGCAGGTGGGGCAGGTGTCAGTGTCTCCTCAGCCCCAAGCGTAGAAGGTACAGTTGGGTGGTCCAACACAAGGGATAGTGAAGCACCAGCTTCGTCGTCAACTGCTGTGTCATCAACAGGTGGAAACAACAGGTCTTGCGAATCACGGGGCTGTGCATCCTTGGTTCCCACATGGATGACGTGAGAGCTATGTTAATGGAAAACCACAAAAAGAAACTACACACATGCAGTTTTGATGAAACAAAAAGTCAGCCTAGAAACAGTCCAGATCTCGGGATTGAGATAGAGCTTTTGGGTTGTGTCCAAACCAGTGTCACCTACGGGAGACACATTGTCATGGTGTGTATGGTACCATAGGGTTCCAGACTTGTTCCAAAGTTATACATGGTAGTATGTGTTTATATATATATATATCAGTTTGTACATGTATATATATATACGTCTATTCACATATAATATATATATATATGTGTGTGTATATATATATTATAGTAATAGCAAAATAACATGTGTGCATGCATGCATACAAAACCCACAAACCCAAAACAACATTTACATGCACAAACACCCCACCTTCACCAATTGCCGTGTCAAATGCCAACGAACGGGGCTCAACAGTGGGTGGCACACTACACACCTGCTTGGGGTCTGGGGTGACCTGGGTAGAGGCTGTAGGTTCCATGGTCCTGCTTGATCTTTTCCCACTGCCACTGCTGCCACTAGAAGATGCTGTAGAAGCAATTGATCGGGCCAGCTGTTTCCGGCGAACTCCTGCTTCACGTGCAGCTTTCGCCACCTGCAACATAAGCAATATACACAGAAGCTTAAGACTGAGAATCGAATATAAGCTGCTCGCCAGGGGCCAAAGGGGTAGCTTTAGTCTCCTTAACTTGATCCCTTGGAATGTAAACCTTCAACGAAACTACCATCCTCGACACCTATTCAGCCCTATATTAAATCACCATTCGCAAAGAGGTAAGAGGGTAAATTATATATATATAACCCAAGTTTTATCATGGGGTTAATAATATGTTCACATTGTCATGGATATGGTAAAAAAACGTGAACTCCTCATGACAGAAAGGGGGTGGCCTGACGCATCTCCTCCTCGATGTCTGGCATTGTCCAAGGCTATGTCAGCAAAATGCCGCAAAGCCGCTCGGCAACGAGCTGGGATCTGATCCAAATGGTGCTAATTACAAAAGGCAAAGATCATATGGACCAAGTCATGGGATTGATCCTAGTCTATATAAACAACTTTTTTGGTATTTTGGGGTAAAGCAAATCAAATTGGAAGTCCAACTTTTTACTCCCCCTAGATTTCCCCCAAAAATATCTTGTCACGCTCGGTCACGCTCAGTCACGCTCAGTCACGCTGATTTTCCGATAAGTACTATTTTTTAGTCTTGTTTTAAGCTTTTGTCACGCTCAGTCACGCTCTGTCACGCTCTCTCACGCTACCCCCACATGGATTTTTTCTTGGCCGTGGTAGGGTTCCAAGGCAGTCAGATCTAATTCGGAACATCATGGATACACATCTGTGCCATCAAGGCGAATTGGATATGCCACAGCTACAAATTCTGGGCAATGGCTTGCTAATTAATAGTAATCATAGGCGTTGAGACCAGCCTGTCCCATCAAGTGCCACCAATTCCAGCAAAACTATATTGGTAAGGTGTTCTGATTTGAGTTTTGATGATATCAACACCTACAACATCGACGGCTGGCAGAAAAACCTAATCATCGAAGGGCAGGCCAGCTTGAGGTTTAAACCTGCCAGCACGATGCTCCTCCTTCAGGAACAATTTAAGGCTGTTCAAATCAGCATCCACCCAGGCTCCAGAAAGGTCCTTAGATATCAAAACATCTTTGAGGAATCCACTACTTAGAGGTTCACCCTATGTGTTTTAATGAGGTGCCATTTTCCTCCGTTAATGTACCATTTTAGAGGGCAGAAAGGGCACATCCTTTTGAGACATATACCCATCATGTATATATCTTTATATTTATAATTATCTGTCAAACGAACTAGAACAATCAATAATTATTTTGTAATAATATAGCTCTATATATATATAATATATATATATATCTTATAAGCTTATTGGTGTGGATATTGACATGCCATTCCGGAGTTTCAATATGTAAGGAACCACAGGGATGGTACACGATAAAGGATTTTGTTTCATATCATATAGGGGCCCCAAAGTAAATGATTCAAAAATGAATGATGTTTGGAAGCCATAAAACTATATTATATCCCAATGTATTTGTTCTTGTTGGTTTGCCACCCTAGGAACAGTCTCTAGGAAAAGGCCCCCCGCAAAACTACCACCCAATAGCATTTGTTTCCAGGGTCTACTCCATGGTTTGTTTTTTTAATTGGTGCCAATCCAACAATCCCAAAGAGAAAATGCTAACATCACCAACTGAAAGGTGCATGATATTTGGAGACATACCCCATCAACCTCTCCCCTGATGATATGATAATGGTATAGCCAATATGTTCCCCCAACTAGTGCTATACATGTTGATGATAATACGATATGTGAAAACTATTATGACCTGCTATGGGGTCCTATTGACTGGGTCATTGCAATCAGAGCCCCGCTGCGCTGTCAAGGAACAAATGGTTCTGGGTGCATCTGCTGCATTCGATCAAAGACCTTCGGAAGGAGGCCGGCCACTGACGCCTGGGCAACGGGACAGGTTGGCAACTCTGGGATGGCAGGGTTTAAACACTATACCTACGCAATAAAGGTGTTGTTTTCATCATGAGGTGAATGAAGTTGAATATATAAGTGCCAGGGCACATCTTGCTTCTTGAAAAAATTCAAGCAAGTCTGGGCAAACTTCTTCGGGTAGGCTTGTGATTCGCGAAGTCCAACATCACCACTTCTTGGTATGGAAGATAAACTAGATGGTTGGCAACACTGCATGTTGGGGGTCAGAAAAATAAAAATAACATTCCCTTGAGTTGGGTTTTCAAAATTAATGAGGGTTCCAAGCTTCACCAAGCTTCACCCAAACCTTGTTTGGATCTGATTTGCTAATGGTCTTTTTAACCATGCCCTTTGAGGATAGTTGCAACTCATCTCGTTTGGGTTTCGGCATGTGGGTCTCGAAATCCATGATCATAGGCCTAGGTATTGGGATTGGTTAACCAACCTAGCCAGTATGCAAGGATCAGTTATGTGTCAATGTTGTTCAACACCCTGACAAAATTATGATCTTTTAAATTGACCCATACCCAAGAAGTTTTATTAGAATCACATGTGGTATGTGAACACCGATTTGGATAAGCCCCCCGCGACGACCCAAAAAGTTGCGTGGCTTTACAGCTCTTAGCGCCGTAAAGCCCCATCCACGTTCTGCGGAAGAAGCATGGTCCGCAGTTGGTTAGCAGGTGCACATACCACGGCGCATGCCGCAGCAAGCTTGATCCTGGTTGTTCTACCTTAGCAAAGCGGCAACTGCTTCTATTGATCATGAGGTTGAAGTATTCGGGTCTAACTATTTTTTTGCCTAAAGTTTTCAGTTAACCACGAAAACATCATGTGCCCCCTTGGGTTGCACGCTAAGATACCATCCACATACATCCATGCACCAAACAAACCATAGCCAAGATCGCAAATCTAGCGCTGAGCATGTTGCCCAAGCGCACAAACGGTCGGGCCACATCGCCTAGGATATTGTCCAACGAGCGTTTTGAAGTCGAAGATGATATCCAAATCCACCTTGGATATTAGAGGTAGACTTATGATAATAAATTGGGAACCACATAAACATGTATATGTATATACATATAAGTATATTAGGAAATACAACTAGGGGTATTGCATGGCTATGGGAAATCTCCAATAATCCCATTGTGGTCGACCGTATCTAGGTATTAAAAAAGGGTTGTAAACATAACCAGGCATCGAAGAGCATGGCACCCCTCCAAAAAGAAGTGAGCCAGGCTTAAGTCGCAGCGTTTGTTTGAGCGCTAGCAAGAAACCAGTAGGGGTACTCAAATCCTGCTGTGGGCCATTGACCACATCAAAGTTTTTCCTCAGCTAGGTTGATAATGATGAAGTTGTGACCCAACAACCTTTTTTGACATAGTACTGTTATGAAGGTTTTGGTTCACATCACTGAGGTGGTGACACAGCAAGGCCACTGCGACCTTATAAGAAATCAACACAACATATTGTTTTAATCTAGTGGCACCGAACAGACTACCCAATCCCAACACCTTGGCGCTTGGCCAAATGCTGCTGACAGGCGAGACTTCCCGCTGAAGCATTCGAATAGGTCCAAGTCCTGGCAAGGACGATGGGCGTGTGACAGTGGTGGTCTGGTTAAAACAAACATATAAGATTTGGTAAATAAATGATATATATATATACATAGTAAAACACTTACTACATAACCAGCATATATTGATAAATAATATTGTAGTGGATGCGTATGTGGGATGATTGCTTGTCAGTATACCCAAGCCCCAGCAGGGTCCTGCACATAACTGTCGCCCATTTGCTGAAGGCAATAGTCGCAGCAGTGAATCCTTAGTGGGGGAAACCACTGAGTAGGGTTGGCTTTACACCAGCTGAGTTTTGGGAGAAAAATATATAGATATAGATACATATATATATATATACATACATACATACTATCTGTATGTCTAAAAGAGCCCTTAACCTTAAATTTTGAGAAATTGTCCTAACAAAAAGGGGCACCTCATTCTGATACATCCCAAAAACATTATATAATATATATATATATATACATACCCCAATTTAAAGGATAAAATATTGCATTAAAAAATGCCTTATACTCTGACGAGGTTCACCACCAAAGGGCAACCCAAATAAATCAGCATTGCCATCTTCAGTTTGGACAAACCCCTCATAATCCTTTCTTGAGCTACTCAGCAGGTCTCAGCGCTGTTGGGCCAATATTGCTATCAAATCAAATATACGATCTAGATGTGTGGGTCTCCAATTTGGCATATATATTTAGATGCGATCAACATATGAAGGTATTGGTATTTGGGAATTTCCGGCTTGTGAGTTTTTTCACCAAAACATTAAGCTGAATATCTGTAGTAGCAACACATTAGCTATGCACAATGTTGTAGATGCAAAATCATAACCCCTTTACATCTTGCTAGCCACCCTTTTGCGCATGTCCCCATGGTGATGCTTCGTTGTGTTCTAATCACAGAGTCGAAAAACTCAGTGAATTTCACAGCAGGTCCAGCTAACCTGCACATCCCTTCACAGCTACATGGCATGGATTGCTGGAAGCCCTGCTTTGCTGAACATGCCCCGCTATAAGGTATGGGCTAGTTGAGAACTTGCGCATTAAACAAATCAAATGGTGTTTTGGAAATCAGGCTGCAGGATCCAGGTTCCAGTTGCCAATCAACTTACCTACGCTGCAGATTTTTGGGTCTGCTTGTTCTTTTTGGGCCAAGATCCAATATCTTGGGCCAGGGAAAAAGCTGCACCCCAGCCTCCCACCTTACCCGTGGACACTGTGGTCCCTCCCTTCTTATTCACTTTCGTTTTGGTAACAAGTGCCACCTTGGGATCAGCAGTCGAGACATAGATCTGCTTCACGAACCACCTCGAAAGCAGTGGCCAAATTTGAAGTCTGGAGTTAATATTCGAAACTAACCAATCTGGAACCTTAAAGATGAATGGTAAACATCCTACATAAAGATGGATGGTAAACATTCTACATAATGCTGCAATGGTGATGGGGTAAGTTCAAGGATTTATCTGGGTAACTGATCGCTGCAAGAATTGGAGATTTTGCTACGCGGGCGCAGATACTACGGTCATAAGCGAAGACGTTGGCAACACCAAGTCGGGATTTCGCCCTAATGTGAGGGTCTGGGCAAACTACAAGCGTGTGGTCCCAGTTTCCCAAGAAGATCTGACCCACGGGGATGTGACGTGCATCTCATCTGAGTCAACTATGTGCGGGAAGTTCCAGAGGTGCACATTTCTGGTGTTAGAGGACGACGCAGATGGCATCGCAGCTTCGTGTGGATTCCAACCGATATAGTTAGCGTTTAAGTTTTGGAAACTTGTAATAACAAGTAAATCCACCACACCATTTACTACCTTCCAGCCTTTTTCCAGGAGCCCTTAGAAAAGACGAAGTTCCACCATGACCCTGATATGGAAGGCATCTTGGGGCCTGGGATTGTGGGGAGTTGATTGATTCAAATACCCAAAGTACACAAAACTGGGGCCCCAAACAGCACTCCCAGCGAAGAAGATTCCTGACTGGGTCCCTTGGTGGTGTAGCTCTTCTTCAAGTACGCACCCTCTGGGATTGGAATTCCGGCAGCTCTGAGCTCTGGTTCCTTAGCGTGTCGTGAATTTGTTCTCCTATATTGTGGGTTTCTTCCCAAACAAACATTAAGGGTGGCACCTCACTAATATAATAAGATCTGAATTTGTTGATAACAAATGTCAATTTTACGCTGCCATGGAAATAGTACTTTGAGACATGGTTCCACGGCATCCCACTGTTGCTTCATGACAGCATCTACCTTTGGACCATCATGATCACTTTCGCCCTTGCCATCAGCTGGTTCTTGTTCTTCGACTTCAACAGTTGCTTCAGGTGTTGGTTCATCACCCAACTCATCCTCTTGATTGGCTTGGGGGGAGCTATTTTGTTTGCCCTTACCCCGGCCCTTGCCCCGACCACGACCACGACCAGGCTTGGTCTTTCCAATCACTTTCTGGACCTTCTTGTCAGCAGCTGCCCTGACGATCAGTTTCTCAGCATCACTGATCTTGCGAGCTTGCTGAGCCTGGAGGGAAGGAACGATGGTATGGTTCTTCATTTAAATAATCAAACAAGTGGTGGACACATCAAGACTGTGGTTCTCAAAACCAAGATTATCACTTATCAAATATGTGTTTATATTTGCCCACATGTATGGATGGATGGGTGTATGTATGTATGTATGTACGTACGTACGTACGTATGTATGTATGTATGTATGTGCATGTATGCATGCATGCACGAATGTGTATGTATGTGTATGTATGTATATATAAATTATAAATATTATCTATCTATCTATCTATCTATCTATCTATCTATATATATATATATACACATGCATGTGTGTATACATGTCTGTACGTATGTACGAATATTTCTAACTAAATATAAGTATTTGTGTTTTTTTTTCTGTGGGTTAATGCAGAAGAATGAATACAACATGTCTGGCCTTTAGCTGCGCTGCATGTACATCCATGTCAGTGTCAGCATTCGGGAACAGCTTGTCAAACTCGGCTTCGGCTGCTTTCTCAAGTTCTTCATCAAAAGTGAGTGGAACTGGTTCGATCGGCTTGCGGTCCTCCAATCGCAACAATGTGTTATCGACACCCCATTGAAAATAAAAGCATTCCCATACATTCACCTTTGTGATAAAGCTTAGTTGATAAAAACAAGTTAGAACAAACTGCAAACTAGTGGTCCTTATCCCCTTGTCGCCGGTGGCTAACATCTGGCAGCTCGGGGTCAGGGGCTGTGGCTGGTGCTCCATCAATGTGCATGTCATCCATAAAGTCGCACAACAAGGTTTCCATCTCATCAGGGGAAGTCGTAGCCTCACTGGTGACAATCATTCGGTACATATCTACTTCCTGATGACAGATCCAAGAAAAATATTTAGTAGACGTGTGAATATTGATTTTTTCGAAATGATAAGGAAAACCGAGGGAAACATATTGAACACAAAAACCATTCAATAAATACATGTTCAGAAACCTTAGTGGTGGTACTGGCTGGAGTTCCCTTCATGGTGCTTGGTGTAGATTCCAGCGTCAGCGCACTTGACGGGGTGCCCCTGCGCAGCAAAGGCTCTGGGGAGGTCGAATCTCCTTGATCCTGGCAAGGTCAGGAGTGGGTGGTGGGCTGAAGTTGCGAACATGGGACATACCTATACTATATATATATATATTATATTGTGTATTCTTTTAGATGAAGCAGAAAACATATACACAACAAAATTTGATATGTTACACTCTGGCCATTGATCTTGGAGGCAAAGGAATAATAAATAGAACCTTTGACAAATGGGGAGCTAAGGAACCTTTTCCGCCCAAGAAAATGTATTCATGTCAGATACTGTTTATAGACAAACTAAACCAAAATTAAAGACACACATCTATATACACACAGATACATCGATTTTCTTTGTGTATACTTAAACACACCTACTGCAAAATGTCTACAACAATATATTATATATATAGTATTTATGTTTACATATCTAAATATATATATATATATTTATTTATTTATTTATCTATATATATATATATATATGGACGCCGTATACATATTTAAAAAAAACGGTCCACAACCACAGGCCTGGTTGTGGATAGCGGCATGCAGGGCAGCATCCACATCCTTCGCACCTGCAGGGTCATCCATCCCTCCCTCTATATATCAATGGAAAAGGCTTTGGGATACATTACCCTTATTTAAGGTAGATGAACCTCTGGCATTTGGCATGGTTCTTTTGGAACATAAGTGCTAGGTAACTAACTGGTTTTGAACAGCACACCTGAGTCAGTAAGCAACTCCATCAAGAAGCTCTTCAGGGCTTGGATAACCGGACACTTGGCCTTTGGTGTCCTTTTCGTCAAGACCAGGGCATGCATCAGCACGCATCGAAGATTAGGAGCCTCCTTCTCAGCCCAATCCTGAGAATGTCGAATTGAAAATGTCAAATTGAGATGTGGGTGGATAAAACCAATAATGTAAAACAAAAAAACCTGCACACTGTCTTGGAAACGGTAACTGCATCAACCACATGCTCACCAATCGGAGTTGGAAGGGTGGTGAAAAGTATTAGTTTTATTCTTCTAGGTGGTAATGTAGTTTCCTTAGCAAATTGCGGTAAAACCTCCCAAACCTAATATGATAATATGATCAATGTATCCAAGTTTCCTTGACAAGGCTCGAGCACGCTTTGTCACCCAGCAACAAGTATCGCTTGGCAAGCAATCGTAACACCACCTTTCAGGGAATGAAGTGTTTCTGACACTGGCGTAATTCAGCTACCCATGAGGATCTCATAAATTCAGGATGGTAAGTGCCAAATACTATGTATTCCATGGAAATCGTAAACAACATGATTTTGTCCAACCAACCTGGTGGGTTCGGAGACTAGGCACGATGCAGTCCTCAAAGCTGGCGAAGTAGCTTTACCTAGTGGGAAGTTCCAAGAAGATATAGATCAATGAGGTATATTAAGGTCTGATTCTTGCATCCAAGAAATAAATCATATTATATACACCAAAATGGGGCCAATAAACATTTCACCAAGCCGCCATTTCAGCGCTGTTGGGCCCATCGTCTGGTATGAGCAGCAACGTCTTGTCCTAAGCATATGCGCAAGTCCAGTTGGACCCGGGGTACCATGTGAAGCCCTGGTGAATTAGGATAGTCTTGTGGGGCAAACACAAAGATATCAAATATGTATGCCACACCAAGGGTCTTTGCGAACCTGATCCAAACGGCCATCCTCTAATAGCCATGAGTTCAGAAAGTCCTCAAGGGGGCAAGGGTGTTTGATATATAATGTAAATGCATATAAATCAACAAGCGGGTGTGCCTAATCTCCTCATATTATGTATAATATATTTTATATATCTATCTATATCTATCTCTCTCTCCCTCTCTCTCTTTCACTTCAATCTCTCAATCTCTCTCTCTCTCTCTCTGTAACTTCAATAGTTTGGTCATCCCTTTCCTCCAAGATGATCTGCTGGGTCTTCCGATCCATTGCAGGTTGGCTATGACGAAACCACAGCTGGCTGGGTCCAAAAAAAGCTCCACTGTGGGTGCGTTCACTACCCAGTAATCAAATGATTGCCTGTGTGCTGGTGGCCATTTGGGATATAACTACATGTGTGTGTGTATATAAATATATATAATCCCTGCCAGGGTATAGTTAAATTATTTTATAAGTAGATATGTATTAAATCGCCAATAGTTTGGGTGACCAAATGTGCAACAGCACCCAGGCAACATCCTATAGAGCCTTTGAATTAACAGGGAACCCCAAGCCCAAACCCATGGCCAGAAGGCGCACCACCAAAATGGTCAACAATGTTGGTTGCCCCTGCAGTCACCTGGGTGTGGCAAGAGGAAGGTCCCCCAAAAAAAACTATATGATCAGTCATATAGGCCCATGTCGACCAAAAAAAAAACAAAAAGAATATGAAGATAACGATCCAGTCACCTCATCGGAAAGTTTGGGCCGCTTCACAGGAGGTCCAGTATCAGTGTTAACAGCACCAATGCCCAATTGGGGGTTGGCCCGATGGGCTGCTATGGCGCGTTTCATGCATGATATCAAAAAGTAGGTACCTTCTGATTATATGCATAATTTTCGGCAGTTGTGATCAGAATTGGTTTTTGAAACCACCATATGGATTGAACAGGCAGTAAATTTCTATGTTCATATCCTTGGTGTGGATTTAAATCCCTTTATATAATTTAGATTTATTTTATATATGGATGAATTGAGCATGCAGTCCTGCCATGTTGAACCATCACCGGCAAGATTCCTGGCTGACCCGGGTCATGGATGTGGTGGGCTATGTAAATATAGTGGGATTTTGTTAGATAATCATAGTATAACAAACGTAAATCCGATAAGTATATGAATTTAGCACGTGTTGGAAAAGTATTTTTTTATATACTTATCCGATTTGGAGCTATTTGCTCACTTAGAGCCTCAGGGTTTGTTGCGAATGATGCAGGCGACGTTGAGAATTACATTGTCCACTGGATAAACATGGATAAACCAAATCCCAAACGTGAGCAAAGCGGAAGTGGAACTGAGACAGAAATGCTTGGGATTCCAACTTGATCCGAACAGCATCTGGTCCTATCCCCGGGCTCGCAGCATCTGCCACATTGGCATTGCGATCAACGATGCAATGCATGCCTATTGGGCAAATGGTATTTGCAATTCAGAGATTGCATTGGTCAATGCCGTGAAGCGGCATACCCATATGGATGTGAGCCATCTCTGTGATGCCATGGTCAGTGCAAACTGGAAAAGACATAAGCCAGAAGAGAATAAGCGTTGGTGCAAGCGTCTATGGACGCCTGCTTTGTTCGGGGAGTATGAATACAAGGGATCCGCCACGCAGTGCCATGCGTTGATGGCCCTTATGAGGTGGTACTGTGAGACCCTCTGGGTTCACATCCCATGCTTGCGCGCTGTCGCTGAGTGCTTCTTGGCGTTGGCGCGCTGCACTGATGCTTTGCGCCAAGGCAAAAAGACACATGACTGGTCAGACCTGGATAAAGCCCAGTCAGACCATCACAAGCTTTTTGCCACGGTGCATCCTGGTCTCATGAGACCAAAACACCACCACCGCTTGCATCTGAGCAACCACTACCGCAAACACCATGTCAGCATCAATTGTTGGGGCATTGAACAATCCCACCAAAACTACAAGACCATATACGCTGACAACTTGCAACAGTTCCTTCGAGCTGACAACGGAGGAAAGGCATACAGCCAGCAGCTCATGCCACGGCTGCTGCTTCGTTCTCTGCAGCTGTGCCGAGAACATCCGTTCGAGAGCGGAGACTTCACACTGGTTTCTCCGTTTACAACGGCAGAAGTCGAAGCCAGCACTGGATTACAAGGCACGCAAATCAGTCGCAGTTGCCGCCTGCGACTTGGGAGTATCCACGAGAACTCAATAGTTCTCTGGGGGAAAAGCTATGAGAACGCCGCTGTGTGCCGTTTTTTTTTTGGAACGTGACAAAAGACACTTTGTCTACTTCACTAATTTGCATCTCTCTGCAAGAGGCGAGTCATATCGCTGCTTCCGATCCATTGGTGAGGCCGACATCATGCCAATGGATGAATTGCATCCCTTGCACATCCCAGCCTTCACTAGCGCTGAAAGCGCTAAAATAATTTGTTTACTCTGATGCAACCGCTAATTTGACGTGAAACACAAGAGTTTGCGTGACCAATCCAAAAAACAACAACAAATGCAATCAACATCGAATTTGCCAAATTGCAGCCGCTGAAAACTTACACGAGATACATCTTAAGTTACTAAACCCCTAAAATAAGTTACGATAACTTCATTGTAAGTTAGATATGTCTATTTGTATCAACATAACTTAGTTATATCTTACGGGCCTCTCTTTGTATGGGAGGGAAAAGCCATATGGTACGAAATTATGTCTATGTTTCCTACGGAATTAGCTGCTGAATCCAACACTTAGAACGTCAGAACCCCCAAAAAGCACCCAAAAGCATAGTGTTCCAGAGATAAAAGATCGCCAATATTTGCACATCATATGGGAGGGAAAAGCCAAATGGTACGAAATTATGTCTGTGTTTCCTACGGAACTAGCTGCTGAATCCAACACTTAGAACGTGAGAACCACCAAACAGCACCAAAAGCATAGTGTTCCAGAGATAAAAGATCGCCAATATTTGCCAATCATATGGGAGGGAAAAGCCAAATGGTACGAAATTATGTCTATGTTTCCTACGGAACTAGCT